ATGCAGAAGAACTAAACAATACAACCCACCAACTTGACCTTATAGACATCTACAGAGCATTTCACCCAACAATAGCAAGATGTACATTCTTTTCCAGTGCACATGGAACATTTTCCATGCTAGACCATACATTAAGCCATAAAGCAAGCCTTAATAAATTTAAAAACATTGAAATATGGCAAAGCATCTTTTCAGATCATAATACTATCAAATTTCCAAATTACAAACTACTTTCGTAATAAAAAAAAGTGTGATAAAAGTTAAACTTTCTTAATTTCCTTAAACTATGTAAATAGCATCTATAGAAAGTAGAATATGAAAGGAAAAAAAAAAAAAAAACCTCAAGGCACAATAGTGCCAAAAAGGTAAAAGCTTTACTTAATTTAGCATCCAAATCTCCAGCACAACCCAGCCTGACAACAGTGTCCACTAAACCCTTGCAGAAACCTTCAAAGATCCAGTCACGACAGTTGGCTACTGCACCAAAGCATCCTTTGTGCGTTTTTCTGCCTTGAATCCCTAAAAAACCTTCTTGTTTCCCTTAGTCATCCTTCCCTCCACTCCCCCCAAATACTCTATTTTCTGAACAACTCATTTCTGTATTTCAACATAGACTATCTGAAGTTGCTATTTACCTACTTTATGTATATAGCTCCTATTTCATCAGTGAGTCAGCTCAGTGAGGACAGGAACATACTGCATGCTTCTCTGGAATGTTACTTTTCCCTCCTCTCCTCTAAGTCCATCACAGTGCTAACAAAGTACTAAATAGCCAATAATATTCACTGAATACAATTAAATCCAGTAATAGAGACATCCAATAATATTCTCTGAATAAAATTAAATTCATTTAGATGTTATATAGATGTTATTTAAATATAATATATATCTCCACATTAACATACAAGTGTGTGTGTATATATGTATATATAAAACAAATACTTTTTTACCCCAAGATTCCAACTATTAAGGCGAGCTTCAATGTCACTGTCATCCAAAGAAAAAGCAGATTTTTTCAGATGAACTTCCTGAAACACAAAAGCAAAAGAAAGAGAAAGGAGGGGCAAGGAAGGAAGGAGGAGAAAAAAGACGAAGAGAGGCAGGGAAGGAGGAGAGAAGGAAGGAAGAAGGAGAAAAGTTCAGACCAAATATATGTCATTTAGGTTAATGAGTTTTGTGTGGTTTTTCTGGTAATACTCTATTATCCTCAGGAGTTCTCATGACACTGCAGTTAAAGTACTCGGCTGCTAACTAAAAAGGTCGGTAATTCAAACCCACCACCTGCTCCATGGGAGAAAGATGGGGCAGTCAGCTTCCATAAAGATTTACAGCCTTGGAAACCCTACAGGGCAATTCTACTCTGTCCCATGGGGTCGCTGTGAGTCGGAATCAACTCAGTGGCATTGGGTTTGTTTTTTGTTTTATTTTGCCCTCAGAGGAAAGGATTATGTTACAACCGAGCTGGAGTTCCCAGTTCTGACCAATGACTGTTTATAACTGTTGCTTAGGACTATGAGAAGACTTCACAATACATTTCATACAGTAACTAATAATTTTTTAAAAATCAAAAGAATATTTTAAAAATTAATCCAGACTCTTCTCTTTAAGTTCTTTTACAAAAAGTTTTAATTGTGGCATAACAACGTAGCTTTAAGGGGTAGGGGGGTAGGAGCAACACTTAAAACATGAATTATTCATTCGCCTTAGAGTCAGTTCACAGGGAAGTTTTGTGTTGATGTCTAAGCAACTCCTTGTCCTTACATCAATTCTCATTCATACACTGACTATTAAGACACATAAGCTTTGGATTCACATGAAAACACAATTATGGTGATTCTCTACTTTGTGAAAAATAAAAAGTCCATGCTTTTTTCTCCTGCATACATATTATATTAAACATTTATTGAACTAGATGAAGGTGTCATTAACTGAGGACAACCAAAGATCTAGGCCCAGAAATGGACTGTGATCTGAAAGCTCTAAAATCTAAGAAAGGTATTCTTTCTGAAAACTAATATTCTTTAGGTTAAGATTAATCTACAGTCAAAAATATGTATTTTGAAATTAATTTTGTTGATACGGCAATGCCATGCTTTTAGAAAACCTCATTATAACCAAAGAAACCTAGTTACTTTTGAGTCATTTAAATCATATAAAGTGATTAAAAAAAAAAATGCACTAAAATGTTTCACATATTTTACTGAGTTCCAAATTTCCATTCAATAAAATGTTGAGTTTCATTCTTAATATACTATGTCAAAATTCATTATAGCTTCTCCTGGGGCTCTCTTACTTTTTATGTATTTTTATTTGCAAACTAAAACTTCTTTAGTAAGAAAATGGACCTGCCATGTTTTAAGTAAATATAATGGTTGATAATAAACCAACAACTATTTAAAATGTGCTGCCTTACATATTTATTTGTTTTAACATTTTACACCATCATTGGAGAAAATGTGATGAGTGATGTTTAGATCAATATGTGTTAAGACAACCACGCATTACACATGATCTATCCTGTAACCAAAACCCAAGACAAGCCTGAGTTAGGCCATATAAATGGTAGTAAACAAAGTTTTTCTCTTTACAAAATTAACTAGAATGCTCGTTAGCACCTTGTTCAAACCAAATACATGTTCAGCAATTTAGCTTCAGGAGAGGTATCCACAGCTGAAGATACAAACACCTCATCTTCATCAGAAAAGCAGTATCTCTTACTTTAAAAACTCAATTCCAACTCATGGGACACCATGTGTGTCAGAGCAGAACTGGGTCCCACAGGGTTTAGTGGCTGATTCTATGGAAGTCGGTCGCCAGGCCTTTCTTCCGTGCTGCTTCTGGGTGGACTCAAGTCTCAACTTTTTGGTTGAGCCTCTGTTCTCTACTAAAATTAATCCCAATTTCTTCTTAACTTTACAATCACTAGATATCTAATCATTTTTATACATTCACTGAAAAAACGAGAAATGGAAAATAATAATTAAAACACAAAGCCATGCCGAGTTATTCTTCAATACACATGAGAAATGACAGACTGATTTAACATCAGGCCTCAGAATCACTGAGAGAACAGATTAAATGAAATACAATACTTCCTTTGACATTAGGATGTTCACTACAACCTTCAGACTTCATTCATTGTTTTTAAGTAATCATTGGAACCTTGGCAACAGAAAAATAAACAAATAAAAGGAAAATCTGATCTTACAGAAATCTTTGGGGTAACACTTTCTCCATCTTCTCCGTAAGTTGGACTCACAGAATGTGATACCATTTGGAGGCGCCCAGGGTACTGTTCCCTACTAAAAGACCAAAACAGTAACAATCAGAATTTGGGAATTGACAGGAAACAAAGTATATAAACCTAGGCTGTCTAATTTTTTTTTTTTTTTTTTGGAAATTAGATGATTGGATTGTTTGTATTAACAATGATATATCAATAAATCAAAAAGCCAAACACATTGCCATTGATTTTGACTCATGGTGACCCTACAGGGTAGAACAGAACTGCCCCATAGGGTTTCCAAGGCTGTATCTTTATGGAGTGACTGTCACATCTTACTCCTGAAGAGCAGCTGGTGGGTTTAAACTGCTGACCTTTTGAATGGTACCAAGCGTTTAACCACCGCACCACCAAGGTTCATAAAGTATCAGTAGCAAGAAAAAAGAAATACAAAGGGTAAACATTTGATTCATTTTGATAAAAGTACAAGTAAAATATCACCTAAATACTACATACTGGCTTACAAACATTTACAAGTGAGATCATAATTAACCATATATATTTCAATCATCTTTCCTCCTTTCCCCTTTTCTTCAGTGTAGGAAGAGAGAAAAGGAATCATATATTCTCAGAGAAGATAATTGTTTTAAAAACGTTAGCAAGTTTTGTTGGGTTTCGTGTTGCATATCAAGATGAAGTCTTAAAATGTATAAAACAGCAAAACCTTCACACAGCTGAAAATGCAAAGTAATCAGAAACTATGTCAGAAACTACAGATTATCAGCCTTTGATTAAAAAGTACATATATCATGCAAATTCAGGTAAAATATATTCAGTAGGAAACTAGTTTACTTCAAAGTGGATTTAAACAAAAAGAAAAAAAAAAAAAAAACACCTCTTCTCCAGTATAAAATATAATATAAAAACACCACTCTCAAACATCCTATGTTAGCTAGAGTCTCTCCTGTATTTTTATTCAACTGACTTCAATGAAAGTTCCATGATTATGAATAGCTGTTGTCTGAAGAGCTGCTTCAAGATACAGGAAACAGAAACTAACAATTACATAAAATTACAGTCACTAACTTTCAACCACAAACCATATCAGGACTTCCTTCACAACTATGGGCCAAACTAAGTATCCCCGAAAGACAAAAACACTATTTTAAAAGAAGACACGGTTAAAATGAACGTGTTTTTTGGTGGTAACACTGATAGAGTAACATTCTTTATATCAAAAACCAAACTCACTGCCACTGAGTCAATTGTGACTCATAGCATCCCCTATTGGGTTTCCAAGGCTATAAATCTTTGTGGAACCAAACTGCCTCACCTTTCTTCCACAGGGAGGCTGGTGGGTTTGAACCACTGACCTCTTGGTTAGCAGCCAAATGCCTTAACCACACCACCAGAGCTTAGCATTCCTTAAACTAGTAATTAAATCATTTAGAATATCTGAAAAGCTGTTTTAGAAAGAGAGCTATCAATTCTTTTATACTCCTACTCAGTAACCCAGATGCCTGCATAGTTAAAACCAAATGAGAAAACGTGGCAGAGCAACATTTTGAGAATAATTTCACCAGTCAGTGTGCCTGAGCTGATACACCATGTAAACCTCAGTAGCTGGGAGTACTGTGGACGTGTTATCAGAAAGGACCAGCACGGAGGCAGCAAAAACGAGGAAGATCCTCGAGATGGCTGCAACAAAGAGCTCAAACACAGCACTGCCTTGAGGACGGTGCCAGACCAAGCAGTGCTTTGCTCTGTTGTACGCAGCGTTGCTACGGGTCAGAACCGACCCAATGGAGCCTAACAACAACACAGAACACTGAGATGAAGCAACCGGATGTATCATACTAAGCAGTGGCCCCTTCTTCTTTAAAAATAGATTAAACAGTCATAAAAAGAGCTATACACTTAAAAATGGAAAAATGCTTCAATATTAAAATAATTCTTCTCATAGAAAAGATTAATAGAAGACAAAAAAAGAAGCCTGAAACATTTAACTGTCTATTACCCAGAGTACATACATCTAACAACACACCCTTTTAATTCACTGTAGCTCTTCTTACCGATCAACCTTTCTCTTCACAATACATTTCAGAAAAGGCGCTGGATCCGTGCCCTAACCTGCCGTGTAGTCTTCCATCAACTACATTCTGACTTTTACCCACTCTGAAACGGCTGTAAGTAAGGTCGTCAACATCAAACACCGCTGGCTGATCTCACTAAAACATTAGATGTGGTGTCTTAAACACGCTTTATCATTGGCCCCACGGAACCACTCTTCACCATTCTCATCTTATCCTTCAGAAAGCCCTTCACAGAAATCTTCATTAGCTTTTCTTCCTCTGCCCACCCAGCAGATGTTGTAATCCCAGGGCTCCACCTCTACATTCATTTTCATTTTACATGCTTTCCCTGGGTGATCTAATATACCACTAGTATTTCAAACAATAAGGAAAATCTGTATCTCCAGCCCAAATTGCTCTCTTCATCTTCAAGCACATTACAAGTAAGAAATGACTAGCTCTACCTCCAATCCAAAGCACAAGGACTAAGGTGTGCCTGACTCAAGCCACGGTGCTTTCAATCACCTCATATGCATGCAAAAGTTAAACAATGAATGAGGAAGGCCAAACAATAACTGATGCATTTGAATTAAATGCACAGATGTCACTTCAAGGACTAAGGTGTGCCTGACTCAAGCCATGGTGCTTTCAATCACCTCATATGCATGCAAAAGTTAAACAATGAATGAGGAAGACCAAACAATAACTGATGCATTTGAATTATTGTGTGGCGAAGAATACTGTATATACCAGGGACTGCCAGAAGAATGAATAAAGTTATCTGGAAAGAAGTACAGCAGAATGGTCCTTAGAAGCAAGGCAAGACTTCAACTCTAGTCCTTTAGACATGTTAAAAGGAGGGTCCGGTCCCTGGAGGACATCCTGCTTGGTAAAGTACAGGGTGGGCAAAGAGAGGGAAGACTTTCAATGAGACAGACTGACACAGCTGCTGCAACAATGAGCTCAAACACAGTGATTGTGAGGACGGCGTAAGACCAGGCGACGTTTCGTGTTATACATAAGGTCACTGAGTCGGAACCGACTGGACGGCACCTCGCAACCACCACCTCCAATTCAACGTGTCCAAAACTAAGTAAGTTATGTTGCCCATAAAACATATTCCAACGGAGGCCAAGGAAAGCAGGAGCACAGCTGAAACCAGCTCTTGGTGAATGCAGCTGAGCCAACTAAACAAGGAGGTCAGTGTCACTGCTAAAACCTGGCTGGCCCAAGAAGCATGTGCATTTCTTGCCGTGAGACTGCTTCCAGCTGGAGAACTGGAACTCTAAGCAGGCACAAAAGACCTCAAATTTAAATGATTGGGGCTGGAGGTCAGGGGAACAGTGTGGCCGAGGGTGGCTAGCAAAGCTCAAACCTCTGCTTATGAAGGGTAACAGGTCCTGCTGTCACGCAGAACACCAAGCTGTGGTGCTCATAAAGACAGCCTGCAACTGGGTCAGGAGGCACGATCACTGCGCTCACCATTACAGGACTTGTGCCAACTGGAAGAGGGGAAGTGTGGCTCAATTAAATTCAGGGTGCCAAAACTAACACAGAAAAGCTTCAGTCCATTAGCAAAACTCCCTAACATGCAAATGCCTCTTTATTCCTCTTACACAGTAAAACTATAGGAAATATAAATTTTCCCTTTTTACTCTTTTTCCCCCCTTTCCACTCTTTCTTAAAGCCAAAACATTTCAAAAGGAATCCAGAAACATACTCCCAGCATCTATCTGATTCCAACTGGAAAAACACTGACTTGCCCCTGTACAGATGAACAGGAATAAGCAATGGGACATACAAGATTAAAGAACCTATAAGAAGCCTTATCAAATGTTCTCCTGCAAAAAAGAAAAACTTACGCAAATACACTGCTGCCAAGTCGGATCCCACTCATAGCGACCCCTCCTTGGGTTTCCGAGGTGGTACCACTACGGAAGTAGATGCCCAACGTAAATTTAAAAAAGGAAACATGTAAGATGTCTGTCTAATTTGTATTCTCAGTGTGATTCAAATGGACACTTCATATATGAAAAGGAACTGAACAATCTATGATCACAAAAATTTGCTAATAAATGAAAAATATGATTACCAAATTTCAAAATGCAATGGAAGAAGAAACTAGTTGGTTAAATATAGCCAAATCAGTGAATGAGAAAATCAGCTTAAGAAATTTCCCAAAATACAAAGAAAAAGGGAAAGAGATTAATTTAAAAAAAAAAAAAAGCAACAGACAAGGAAGCTAGATTCAAAATCTGTAACACTGGCACAATATGAAATTCCAGAAGGAAGAAAAAATCAGAAACTGGAGGAACAATTATTGGCAATGCCAATCAAAACTGTATCAGAGAAGAGTCTCAAAGAATGAACTTATGATACCATTTTTGGCTACATCAAAAATACAGTGCAATGAAAAGGATAGAAAAATCAAAGTTGGCCAGGCCAAGTTCCAGAAACAACTGAGACAGCAAGAAATATGGCTCTTTAAAATCCCACCTGGTCTTAAAAGCTTGCAAGCGGCCATCCAAGGTACAACAACTGGTCTCCATTTGCCTGGAGCAACAGAGGAGAGAGGACAGTCAGGAACAGGAGGAAGAAATGGAATATGTGGCTAACTGCCTCCATGAACAACTGCCTCCTTTGTCATGAGACCAGAAGAACTGGGTAATGCCCAGCTACCATCACTGAACATTTTGATCAAAGATTCTATAGACAAATCTTTGGTCAAAAGGGGGGTATTGTAGAACAGAAATTTGAATTCTCATGGAATCCAGACTTTCTGGAACCATAGAAGCTGGGTGAACTCCTAAAATTACTGCCCTGAAATCTTTAAACCTTAACCCAAAACACCCCTAAAGTCTTTTTAAAACCAAACAATAGTTTAGTTTAATTAATAAAGATGTCTGCCTTAAGTATTATGCTCTCTTAAGAACTATCTATATGAAATCAAATTGAAAACAACAACTTGAAAGATCAGATGTAAAACTTAGGAAGCAGTTTATGGTAA